GGGGCGCAAAGTCTTGAAAGTAGAATTTTCCAAGGGAAAGGCAATATTGCTTTAGTCTCCAAATTTATTCACTTAAAATCTATTTATATGTTAATATATACCAGATAATATATATTTGAAACTTGGTGAATATACTATTTTAAAAGTACTGTCGAGCATCCCCTAGGTCAAAAAAAAAAAGGGCGTGTTTTGAATGTTTTCAGCATTTTGAGTTTTTTTAATTGAAAACACTCAAAACGGAAAAAAATCATTTTGAATTTTCAATTATAAATTTTTCCTTGTTTTTGGAAATACATTTTCTGAAATAAGTGAGGAAATACGTTTTGAGCATTTTCGAAAACTAAAAATAGAAAACGGCTGGAAAACAACAAATCAAACGCACTCTAAGAATCACTTGAAAATGCTATAATTGATGAAATTTAGCATGATCCTTCTGTTTGGTAACTTAAAAATCAAATTTTGATTTAGAAGACATAAACTTATAGATGTGCGATACATGTGAATGTTGCAAAAATTATCAAACTAGTTGACTTGAATATTCGCTAGTTGATGGGACGTGGGCTATTCCGAGATGAAACTAACATTTCATCGTCCCTTAAAACCTAACATGTGGATATAATATATACACACTTGTATATTTAATTTTGAAAATTACCCTACTAGCTTAGCCCGTAGATTGTGTGTCTCAAGTGTATATAGAACTTCGAAGCCTACCAAAATTTTGATTATTTCTTATCTACAACATGTTAATTCTTCCTTTTTTCTGCCAATGAAATGAAGTTTTCAAATGTGCACTCGAAAACCTCAAAAATCTCGAGACTAATAAAACTCATTGTGATATCAAGTTTTACATGTATGATCTATTTCCCACTAACATTTTCATTATTTGTCTTACATAGTACAAAATTCTCATATTTCTCAACGTTTTGCTCACTGTCAAAGCGTAGCGTTTCGTCCGTGCCTCGCTCTATAACGCAATCATTTATTTTGAAATAAATTTTGTGAAAAATAATTTATTTTTCTTTTTAGAATGTATGGTTAAAACATAGAGAAAAATTTTAAATCTACATGTAAAATTATTTTATTGAAAAAATTTATGGTTGAAATGAGTCTTTAAAAAATGAATTTTTAAAAGAACTCAACTAGCAAACCAAACTTCATTCTATTTTGAGGGTCAAAATTGTCAAAACAATATTAACTCTTTCCCTCCAAGGATAATTATATGCTGTGCCTACCAATTTTAAAAACGATGTAATTGTATTGAATGTTCATCATTGATATCACTTCCTATATTTCATCACATTTTTATCATCTAATATTTTCCTGATAAAGTTTTTCATTCAAAAATTCTATTGGCGTGCTGGGGAAAGTATTTATTCACTATTATGAAAAGAGAAAAAAAGATAAAAGAATAGAGAGAAGTCAATATACTTGTACGTATTTTATTAAGAACCAAAATCTTATATTTATAGGACAGAATTAGGGATACAACGTAATATTTTCTAGGGTTACAAGGGTATTATTGTCATACGCTAATAAACTATCATAAACTTATATTTTATAACACTCCCCCCTTAAATGACACATTACAAAATATTTCCCCATTAAAAGCCTGTTTGATAAAAATTCAATAGGGAAAAATCAAACTAGGGAAAAATCAAACTAAAGAAAAAGAGTACAATTATTTTGAAATATTAAAAATAAATGCTATCTCATTAAAATTTTGCTAGGAAAATTAAGTGGAATAAGATATAAACGAAGGAAAAATACAGTTACTCCCCTTGATATTAATTACTGAATTTTTTTTTAGTCGACACATTCCAATCTTGTGAGCCAATTTCTTAAATGTAGATGTCGACAGTGTTTTTGTGAATAAATCGATCACATTGTCACTTGAACAAATTTGTTGGTCATCGATGTTGCTATTCTTTTGAAGATTATGCGTATGAACTTTTTTTAGAGAAATATGCTTAGTCCTGCGACCTTTGATATAGTTTCATTTAAGTTGTGCAATACAAACTGTATTGTCTCCATACAAAATTGTTGGATTATCTTTTGTTGAAATTAACCTGCATGATACTTGAATGTGATGGGTCATGTTTCTCAATTATATACATTCTCGGCCTGCTTTATGAATTACAATAATTTCAGAATAATTTGAGAATGTTGCTGTCAAGAATTGTTTCACAGATTTCCATGCATGATATAGTTGTTCCTCCACATGTAAATATATATCCTGATTGTGATTTAGTTTTATATAGATCGGATAGATAACATGCATCTACATATCTCACTAAAGCAGATCCTGATTTTTGAGAATAAAATAATCTCAAATCAATAGTATCCTCCAGGTAATGAAAAATACGTTTAACACCATTCCAATGTTTTTGAGTTGGTGTAGAGCTATATCTTGCAAGAAAATTTACAGAAAAAACTATATTGGTTTGAGTACAATTTACAAGATAAGTTAATGCTCCAATTACACTAAGGTATGGTATTTCAGGACCAAAAATCTTTTCTCCATTTTCAAGTAGGCGAAATTGATCATTTTTTCACATTAAGTGATCGAACAACCATAGTTGATGTCAATGGATGTGCATTATCTATATAAAGATGATTTAAAACTTTTTTCGTATATGTAAATTGATGAACAAGACAGAATTTGATTTTTATTTTTTCCAAATCCCTCTTTCTACTTTGGCGATAAGTTGGGGACAAACTCCGTAATTTTTCCTTCCCTAAAATGTAGACGGTGTTTGGCCGATCGCTGGTTCCACCTAACTCTTGCTTTGTAGAATCTCGACACTTTCAGTGTATTCCATCTAACATTTTTCTCGCTCACTCCTAGATCCAGGTATTGTACTTCCGCTCATTACACAGTACACTCTACATCTCCATTTATTTATACGCAAGAGCATTGTTAAGAAATGATCAATCCCTAATTATACATCAATTTAATCAAATATTTTGTGCTGCTGTACCTTAATTTCAATTTTTATTCAGTACCCACATTTTCCATTTTCAAGATTTCCGCACGCAAAACTAGCTGTTCAATGTCATTTTCTAAAGAATCCTGTCAATTTGTAATTATATATCAATTCAATTACCTATTTTAGGTTGTTCTGTCTTAAAATCAATTTTCATTCAGTATCCATATTTTCTTATTCAAGAGCTATTAATTTCATATTCTAAAGAAACTAACCAATCTCTAATTGTATATTAAAATTTTAATTAAGTATCCACATTTTTTTCGACATACATGCATGCAAAACTAGCTATTTAATGTCATTTTAGAAATATTTATGCACAACATTGCTTATTTATCAGTTCGCAGGACCATAGTATTGGTAATATTTGTTGGGAAATTATTTCCAAATGGCTGGTGAAGAGAGGTGGTGCATGGTGACGGGTGGGAGAGGCTTTGCAGCACGGCATTTGGTGGTAATGCTAATCAAATATGAGATGTTTAAGGTCCGTATAGCTGATTTGGGTCCCAACATCATACTTGATCCCGAAGAGGAGAAGGGTGTTCTCGGTGAGGCCCTGAGGTCTGGCCGCGCTCAATACGTCTCCACAGATCTTCGTAACAAATCCCAAGTACTTAAAGGTCTTTTTTTATTATTGCCCACCTGTGTTTAATATCTGAATTGTTTGTTTCTTTGACTTTTTTTTTTCCCTTTATGTTTTACATGTTTGATGGATACTATGATTATTTCTAGTCTTTGTTAAGATGGAATCATCCGTCTCATGCATTAGGTGTATATTGAAACTGTCATGTGGGACCAGTTGCCTCTTGTTCTTAACTGTGTTAAGTGACTGTTAACTGGAGCTTGGATCAAGGTTTCAGGCAAGAGCCTTGAGCCAGTCGTATAGCTTGGAGGTATATTTGGGAGTTTGCAATAAAAATTTTAAATATTTTTCTGAAAAGGTGACTTAAAAACAATCTCCGCCCTTCCTACATCCACCCCGTTTCACAAAGTGTCACCCTGCATCTATGAATTTAATGTTTACATAAGCGATTATTTATTTCTAAATATTGCTTCCGAAGTTGTAAATAGCAGTCAGTCACTATGCTACCTTTAACCTAACAGTAGTCTTCCAAATTTTTGAAATTATAATACTTTGGAATTAGGATAGGGTATTAGACAAATTTGATGGGATTCAGATTTCGTAGCAATGATTCCTTATTTCAAATTTGTAAAGTATAACAGGGCTTATTTGCATTGGATCGCGTGAATTAATTCACAGATTTCTAATAGAAACTATTTCCAGGAAACTGTATTTATTGAATAGAGTTGTCTGCAAGTTTGATCATAAAAATAATTATTGAAATTTGAAGCAAACACTGGGTAAACTAATTTCTAAATGCCAGGGGATGATTGTGTTAATTGGTTTTATGACTAGGCTATTGATTTCTCTCAGCAGTGGAAGTTGGCAAGTTTAATGTTTCAGTTAGATGTTTGATATAATGTTTGATCATTTCTGGGATATCCATGTGTTTGTGCAGCTTGCGAAGGAGTGGAAGTTGTTTTCCATATGGCTGCTCCTGATTCATCCATTAATAATCATCAGCTCCATCACTCTGTCAATGTACAAGGTACTTTTGGGATTTTAGAGCGCTAAATAAAGAAATATACTCTCTATGCTTCTGAAAGTCTCTAGCCTATCAACTCTGCATTTATTTATCTTTATTATACTGCAACAGGGACCAAGAATATTCTTGACGCCTGTATTGAGCTAAAAGTAAAAAGACTTGTGTATACTAGTTCTCCAAGCGTGGTCTTTGATGGTGTTCACGGAATATTTAATGGGGATGAATCGTTGCCTTATCCCGCTAAGGTATTGAACTGTGTTGACTTAATGTCGCAACAATATCAGCATTATCTTTATATCAGTGATCAAGAGGGATTGTTAAAAGTACTCGGATTATTATGTTTGCCTTTCTCTCTCAGCCTTCATCATTAGTTGACGCCGGATTTCAAATAACGGAAGACATTATTTTCATTTAGCTATCTCTATTCCTCTTTTTCCTTCTGTTTTTATTTGGATTGGATGGGACGTAGTGGCTCCACATGATTTCACCATATCATATCACTTGGTGATGTACAAAACAAATACTTGGATGCTCATCTCCTGGTCTAACTTAGTTCTGCATCATGCGTGTGCAGCTTAATCTGATTTTGAGCCAGCGTCTATTCATTGATGCACCTATGTCAAATTAATTATTATTTTTGGTTAATTTTTCAGTCCAATGATTCCTATTCTGCTACAAAAGCGGAAGGAGAGACCCTAGTTATCGAATCAAATGGTTTGAAAGGACTCCTAACATGCTGTATTCGACCTAGCAGCATTTTTGGTCCTGGTGATAAGCTACTTGTTCCATCTTTAGTTGCTGCAGCAAGGGCTGGGAAATCCAAGGTTATTCTTTTGCTTGTTCTTGTATTTTTACTATTGTTTTGCTTCTTGTATTCTTACTTTTTCACACATTGATTTTTCTTTGAGTGGAGTTCTTTGTCTGACAGCAATGAAATTAATGAAGTTTTGATTAGCTTAAAGAGAATGCATGAGACCCCTCTGTTTTGCTTTTCAGATTTCAGTTCTCTGAGGTCCTTTGCATGAAATTTATATTTGGTGATGCTCATTCCTGGCAATAACTCTACTTCTCCTTACCAAGTGTCACTTGTCAATTTTGCCTTTTATGCCATTGTTATTTTGTACTTATTTTTGTAGTGCTACAAAATGTTTTCTTTACTTGCATATCCAGACAGTCATTTTCTCTGATGGGTTACTGTGAATTGTCTAGTTTATTGTTGGAGATGGAAATAACATGTATGATTTTACATACGTGGAGAATGTGGCACATGCTCATATATGTGCTGAACGAGCCCTGGCATCAGAAGGGACTGTAAGAGAAAGAGCTGCTGGTCAGGTAACATTTGTTTCTTTCAAATAAAGTTGATTTATACCATTTCGGTTGATCAGAGCCTTATATAAATGTATACATTTCTCGTCCAATGTTCATGTAAAAATGGTGAGTTGCAGTGTGGGAAGAACTTATCGATCTGCCATTTATGTTTCTCTTTTCCTTGCATCTTGTTATACTGTTGATAATCGGTTGTTATTTTGGATGTATGTCAAGTTTTCAGCCAATTAATGGGAGTGTGTTACTCATGTTCTTGAAGTGTATCTAGGAATGTCTAAATAGAATACTTTTAAAAGACAGAAATTCCGAAAAATTCATAAGATTCCCAAATTTTTAGAATAGTGCACCAACATTAGAGCCTGTTTGAGCCCCCTTTTTTTTTACCCAAAATGCATTTTGGAATAGTATTTTAATGGAGAATGCATGGTCAAAAAATAAGGAAAAGTTTTGGATTTGCATGTAATATTATTTTATAAAAGAATGTGTGGTTGAAATTAAGAGAGAGAATAATATATTTTCAAAATAACGGGGACCAAATAAGGGCTTAGTATCACAAATACTTATATAGAGCATACGAGGGATTTTTAATATATAATTTCTTGAAATATTATTTAATTCACATGATTGTAACTGTGTGCCTCAATAGACAAATTTTAAATTGAATTTCCTTTGCAGGCATACTTTATTACCAATGCGGAACCAATCAAATTTTGGGAGTTCATGTCTCTTATTCTTGAAGGCCTTGGTTATGAAAGGTACTCTTATTCTTTCTTAAGAGAAATTCAATCCCTTGTTATTTGAGTACGAAGCCTGCTTACTTCCCTTGGGTTAGCACCCCTCTTTTGCTGGTTTGTCAGTAGGCACCAAGTGTTCCACTTTTAGTTTCAGCGTTTCAATGGATAGAGAAGTATTTTATCTGATCTTGCTGCTAATTGAAGTAACACTGGTCAATTCTAAACTAGTAGTTTTAAGCAGCTTGTCAGCTCATTGCAAATGGGTGTTACTGTTGCTTGTTAGGAAAGATGCTTTGACTTGGTATAAAAGCTGATTATTGAGGTACTGGGCAAGTCTCACACATTGATTTGTTAATAGAATTCATGTTTCCCAGTGCCACTATTTCTTCTCTTCATTCTATTCTTGGTTCTTGATTGTGCGATGGTTTCACTTTGTTACTCCAGAACTAGTATATGAGCTCTGGTGTCCCATGCGCCAGCATCATTTGGATATGGATGCTATATTAAGGAAGAAAACCTAAAATCTTATTATCTCTCTCTCATGTGCGTATCTGTTTGTTCCCTTAACTCAGTTAGGATCTGTAACTCTGTTGTCTTTTGTTTCTTAGAGGGTTTATTTCCATGTAGAAATTTATAATTACCAACATATGCTATCTATATTTCTGATTTTATATAGTATGCAGACCAAAAATAAAGATTCCTGCTGCTGTTATGATGCCAATTGCACATATCGTGGAGTTAATTTATAAGCTTTTAGCTCCTTATGGGATGAAGGTTCCGCAGTTCACGCCTTCAAGAATTAGACTTCTGTCTTGCAGCCGGACGTTTGATTGTTCTAAAGCAAATGATCGTCTTGGCTACACACCAATTGTATCACTCAAGGTCCTTCTAATGACCTCAATGAATCAATTGTGTTTCTCTTGCCTGACACCTACTTATTGGTTTAGTAAGCCTTCATTTTGCAAATTTGTTAAATCATTTATAAATGGTCAAACTTCATTTCCAACTACCATTCATTTTTGTCTATTTATAAATTAAACCATTTATAAATTCTTCCTAAACAGAGTATAAATAGTTTTATGCTATGCGATTGTCACGCTTCTGAACCTAATTGGATAAATTGATCATTTATGCAGCCAAAACATCTAATTTCGTCGAACATATGTAAATAAGTGTAGCTTTATACCGCTTTACTTGATTGCTTCCTGCACACATATTTAATAGAAGGAAATCTTAAACCTCCTCCAGTACTGACAAACACTAGCATGAGCGTCCACTCAATATTTTCTCTGACGTTTGATTGAATTTTTAAAGACGTATTAAAAACTTTGGTGGCAGAAAATCTGTTGGTGCTTCTATGAGTCATTATTTGAAATGATCTTTCTTCAATGAATATTAATTGTTTGCAGGAGGGCCTTAGGAGGACTATTGAATCATACCCACACTTAAGGGCTGATGTACCAACCGCAAACGATGGGCCATCGAAAGCTGCCATACTTCTTGGAAATGGGAAGGGTATCAATTTATTCTCAATGAAGCTCTTATTCTTTCTTCACTGGATGCAAAATGTTCTGCATATTTTAGTATTCAGTTGGTATGGCGTCGTTATTTCACTTCAGTATTGTCATTAGTCAATCGCTAAGTGTGTTGTTACCACTGATATGCATTTATATGTCAGAATCTAATAGTGACTTCGACTTCTGAAAACCATATGATTCAATTTCAGTTCCAAGACACGTCGTGGAAAATGAAGCTAAAAGTCGATCATGTAGAATGGTTTTTGACCTCAACTGCACCTGGGAATTCTTCCCCCTTGTGATCCAAAAATTCCAATGTTAATACGTTGTATGGAATTTATTTGGCTAATTCGTTGGTTGCGTTGAAGTTACCAAGGAAGTGTTGATAGACTTAGATATAAATGTTGATCTTGATCTAGGATATAAGCCTATGGGTGTGGTGCTAATAAATTAAGGACGAAGGACTTGAAGAGTTCTGAAATGTTAAGAATTTATGTAAAAAGAATAATAAGCTAGAATGATGTGGTCTGTTTGGATGTGACGGAGTGAGTGAAAAGAAAATGCACTAGAAAAGGAATTCTGCGGAAGGTGGAAGCATGTATTGGAATGGTTTGAAAGCTCTACTAATCATTAGCTGGGAAGGAGCTTGGTGGTTGAGATGAAATGGAAATATGACAGGTTACAAGTTTTTAATGTTTCTTTGTTATCATGCAAATAGCTTGCAGTTTTTCTTATTGTTCATTTTCTGCTGGTATAGGTTGACGAACTATATTATATGATTAGTAGTCCGTGATGTTATTTTTGGGTTATGTTTTGGTAGCTTTATTTTGAGCTTGCTTCCCCTTGACCAGACTTCTGATATTTGAATTTTTCTTACATAAATTAAAATATTCAGTTTAAGCAACATGTCGTTACGACTATATTGTTGGATTCTTGAATGTGTTTCTCAAAATTATCACTATATTATGACACTTGCAGTTGCTGACATGCTTCTTTGGAGGAATAAAAAGCAAACACTAACAGTACTGTTGATCTTGGCTGCATTTCTCTTCATTTTTATTGTAACTGGATATACCATTATAACTGCACTTTCCAAGCTTCTGCTGGCAGCATCAATTTTCCTTTTCATCCATGCCAAGTTACCAGAGAAAATGTATAAATGCCAACTCTCTCTTTTTTCTGTTTAAGCAATTATTTTGAGCTTTTTTATGGTTTATCATGGAATTAGATAACCATAAAAATGTATACATCTCAGATATGGTGTTAAACAAAGGGATAAATTCCATGGCTCGTCTGTTTGGTGACTGATGAGTTTGATGAGTAAAAGAGTCTAAAGAGTACTTAAGTAGAATGCAAATCCATGTGATTTTTTACTTAGCCCTTGTTTGAGCCACATTCTAGGGAAAAAATGCATTATTCTTGTCAAATTAATGGGAAATATGTGGTTAAAAAATAAGAATTTTTTTTTGATTTGCGTGTAATATTATTTTATTGAAGAATGTACGATTGAAATGATATCAAATCACTGTTGAAGAATGTATTTTTTTGAAAATAATGTGGCTCAAACAAGCCCTTTATCTACAATATAATATTTTTATTTATATTTAGGTTGCAAGTTGCTTGTCCGAAAGAGAATATTAACAATATCACTTTAATAGGACATCTACATAATAGGAATTATTGGGATTGCTCATGATGCCTGTGTTTGTGCAGATTGGGATATAAAATTGAAAAAATTCAGGAGTCAAAATTTCACATTTCAGAAGATAAGTCTCACCAAGTTGCCATGTCAGTAGCGTCAGGGTGGAACTCTGCAATGGTTTGTTTAAAATCTCTTTGCAAAGGAAGTGACTGGATACTTTTTCTGAAGGTAATATCATTTGCGTTTTAATTGCTTTGCACACTTCATGGAAACTTCACTGTAGCTGCATTTTTTCCTTCATTTATTGGTTAAAAAGATGTTAAGGAAGTTCTTTTAAAAGCTTTAAATCAAGATATCCACATGTATGCAATGAGCTTATGTATCATTCTGGATGGGTAAAAATTGGATAGAGAATGTTGTGCATAATGGGCTGCAATCCGGTGGTTGAGGGTATGGTACTAGGAAAATGACTCATTCATACCAAGTTGTTGAATGTGACGTCTTCTTTAATATATCACTCAAAATGTAGGTTAGATTTCTTCACTTGGTCGAGGTCAACCGTTGAGTTTGTTTAACGTCTTTCGTTTTCACAATCCATGTTTCTTCTATGCTTAACCTGAGAAATAAAATGCTTTACATTTCTTTGTTCTGTCTTAGTTTGGAGTAACACTTTGGTATTAATAGTTCGAGATTAAGTGGAACTAAGATGAAATGCGTGGAATGTGACGAGGACATAATGCACAAGAATAGAGTGGATTGGACCAAATGAAGTGTCATGGGAATCTTATGTGATTGGAGTACCTAACCCTTTAATGAAGGAGGATTTGATGAGGACATACTGCACAAGAATACAGTGGATTGGACTGGATACACAATTGTCATGCAGATATTATGTGGTTGGAAGAACGAAGATACCAAGGTCCTCCTTTAAATGGAAGTTATATAGGATGAATATTGGACTCGTTCTTTTTTATGATATTGATTATTGAGCAATTAAATAATAAAAGCTCATAGGATGAATATATCATAATGAGAAGATTAAGGTGGATATGTGATAATTATAGGTTAGATAAACTATGATATTATGTTTCACTGCAAAAGGGGAGTTGGCATTGTGGATAAATTTAGAGAACATTAACATAGATGGTTAAGGTGTGTCTTCTGTAAATGGAAAGACGCTATCAATCATTGGAGCAATGTAATCCCAGTAGATCATGTTAGGAGAGTGATGACTAAACCAAAAGTAACATGACCCCATGGTGGCTTTTCTACAAGAGGTAGCTTTAGATCGAATGGACATGGCAGATTTCTTGGGAGAACATGTTAGGAGACTTGTATGCTTCGAAGTAGAATGAGTGGGGTATATGCTATGCACCATCAACATGGATACATGCATTGTTCATTGATGTTAATATTATAAATCCTTGAACTGCCTGTAAGTTGAGCTAAAGGAAAATGATAATAGGAGTAGGATTAAAGTAAATTGATGACTCTCAGGTTCCCACAAGGAGAAAAAATAATAACTTGTGGCCACCTTGCTCACCTTTTTTCTATGAAACACATCTACATTTGCATTTACTGTAATTGGGATTTCATCAACCAATCTTTTACTCATTCTGAATCTGGTTGTGGAACAGGTGGTTCTCTCTCTATTGGCTCTCAGTATACTTGGAGCTGCTTCTTTTTGCAATATGTTCATTATAGGTATGCATTCTCTGTGTGTGTGTGAACGTGTCATCCAGTTTATCCAATTGTATGCAATTGACATTTTGATTTTATGGTTCTGTGAGTGTATATTTTTGGGTCTGTGCATGTATACATATGTTTAGTGAGGGTGCCAAATAAACTCTGTATTTCTCAACGTTTTGCTCACTGTCAAAGCGTAGCGTTTCGTCCGTGCCTCGCTCTATAACGCAATCATTTATTTTGAAATAAATTTTGTGAAAAATAATTTATTTTTCTTTTTAGAATGTATGGTTAAAACATAGAGAAAAATTTTAAATCTACATGTAAAATTATTTTATTGAAAAAATTTATGGTTGAAATGAGTCTTTAAAAAATGAATTTTTAAAAGAACTCAACTAGCAAACCAAACTTCATTCTATTTTGAGGGTCAAAATTGTCAAAACAATATTAACTCTTTCCCTCCAAGGATAATTATATGCTGTGCCTACCAATTTTAAAAACGATGTAATTGTATTGAATGTTCATCATTGATATCACTTCCTATATTTCATCACATTTTTATCATCTAATATTTTCCTGATAAAGTTTTTCATTCAAAAATTCTATTGGCGTGCTGGGGAAAGTATTTATTCACTATTATGAAAAGAGAAAAAAAGATAAAAGAATAGAGAGAAGTCAATATACTTGTACGTATTTTATTAAGAACCAAAATCTTATATTTATAGGACAGAATTAGGGATACAACGTAATATTTTCTAGGGTTACAAGGGTATTATTGTCATACGCTAATAAACTATCATAAACTTATATTTTATAACACTCCCCCCTTAAATGACACATTACAAAATATTTCCCCATTAAAAGCCTGTTTGATAAAAATTCAATAGGGAAAAATCAAACTAGGGAAAAATCAAACTAAAGAAAAAGAGTACAATTATTTTGAAATATTAAAAATAAATGCTATCTCATTAAAATTTTGCTAGGAAAATTAAGTGGAATAAGATATAAACGAAGGAAAAATACAGTTACTCCCCTTGATATTAATTACTGAATTTTTTTTTAGTCGACACATTCCAATCTTGTGAGCCAATTTCTTAAATGCAGATGTCGACAGTGTTTTTGTGAATAAATCGATCACATTGTCACCTGAACAAATTTGTTGGTCATCGATGTTGCTATTCTTTTGAAGATTATGCGTATGAACTTTTTTTAGAGAAATATGCTTAGTCCTGCGACCTTTGATATAGTCTCATTTAAGTTGTGCAATACAAACTGTATTGTCTCCATACAAAATTATTGGATTATCTTTTGTTGAAATTAACCTGCATGATACTTGAATGTGATGGGTCATGTTTCTCAATTATATACATTCTCGGCCTGCTTTATGAATTACAATAATTTCAGAATAATTTGAGAATGTTGCTGTCAAGGATTGTTTCACAGATTTCCATGCATGATATAGTTGTTCCTCCACATGTAAATATATATCCTGATTGTGATTTAGTTTTATATAGATCGGATAGATAACATGCATCTACATATCTCACTAAAACAGATCCTGACTTTTGAGAATAAAATAATCTCAAATCAATAGTATCCTTCAGGTAATGAAAAATATGTTTAACACCATTCCAATGTTTTTGAGTTGGTGTAGAGTTATATCTTGTAAGAAAATTTACAGAAAAAACTATATTGGTTTGAGTACAATTTACAAGATAAGTTAATGCTCCAATTACACTAAGGTATGGTATTTCAGGACCAAAAATCTTTTCTCCATTTTCAAGTAGGCGAAATTGATTATTTTTTCACATTAAGTGATCGAACAACCATAGTTGATGTCAATAGATGTGCATTATCTATATAAAGATGATTTAAAACTTTTTTCGTATATGTAAATTGATGAACAAGACAGAATTTGATTTTTATTTTTTCCAAATCCCTCTTTCTACTTTGGCGATAAGTTGGGGACAAACTCCGTAATTTTTCCTTCCCTAAAATGTAGACGGTGTTTGGCCGATCGCTGGTTCCACCTAACTCTTGCTTTGTAGAATCTCGACACTTTCAGTGTATTCCATCTAACATTTTTCTCGCTCACTCCTAGATCCAGGTATTGTACTTCCGCTCATTACACAGTACACTCTACATCTCCATTTATTTATACGCAAGAGCATTGTTAAGAAATGATCAATCCCTAATTATACATCAATTTAATCAAATATTTTGTGCTGCTGTAACTTAATTTCAATTTTTATTCAGTACCCACATTTTCCATTTTCAAGATTTCCGCACGCAAAACTAGCTGTTCAATGTCATTTTCTAAAGAATCCTGTCAATTTGTAATTATATATCAATTCAATTACCTATTTTAGGTTGTTCTGTCTTAAAATCAATTTTCATTCAGTATCCATATTTTCTTATTCAAGAGCTATTAATTTCATATTCTAAAGAAACTAACCAATCTCTAATTGTATATTAAAATTTTAATTAAGTATCCACATTTTTTTCGACATACATGCATGCAAAACTAGCTATTTAATGTCATTTTAGAAATATTTATGCACAACATTGCTTATTTATCAGTTCGCAGGACCATAGTATTGGTAATATTTGTTGGGAAATTATTTCCAAATGGCTGGTGAAGAGAGGTGGTGCATGGTGACGGGTGGGAGAGGCTTTGCAGCACGGCATTTGGTGGTAATGCTAATCAAATATGAGATGTTTAAGGTCCGTATAGCTGATTTGGGTCCCAACATCATACTTGATCCCGAAGAGGAGAAGGGTGTTCTCGGTGAGGCCCTGAGGTCTGGCCGCGCTCAATACGTCTCCACAGATCTTCGTAACAAATCCCAAGTACTTAAAGGTCTTTTTTTATTATTGCCCACCTGTGTTTAATATCTGAATTGTTTGTTTCTTTGACTTTTTTTTTTCCCTTTATGTTTTACATGTTTGATGGATACTATGATTATTTCTAGTCTTTGTTAAGATGGAATCATCCGTCTCATGCATTAGGTGTATATTGAAACTGTCATGTGGGACCAGTTGCCTCTTGTTCTTAACTGTGTTAAGTGACTGTTAACTGGAGCTTGGATCAAGGTTTCAGGCAAGAGCCTTGAGCCAGTCGTATAGCTTGGAGGTATATTTGGGAGTTTGCAATAAAAATTTTAAATATTTTTCTGAAAAGGTGACTTAAAAACAATCTCCGCCCTTCCTACATCCACCCCGTTTCACAAAGTGTCACCCTGCATCTATGAATTTAATGTTTACATAAGCGATTATTTATTTCTAAATATTGCTTCCGAAGTTGTAAATAGCAGTCAGTCACTATGCTACCTTTAACCTAACAGTAGTCTTCCAAATTTTTGAAATTATAATACTTTGGAATTAGGATAGGGTATTAGACAAATTTGATGGGATTCAGATTTCGTAGCAATGATTCCTTATTTCAAATTTGTAAAGTATAACAGGGCTTATTTGCATTGGATCGCGTGAATTAATTCACAGATTTCTAATAGAAACTATTTCCAGGAAACTGTATTTATTGAATAGAGTTGTCTGCAAGTTTGATCATAAAAATAATTATTGAAATTTGAAGCAAACACTGGGTAAACTAATTTCTAAATGCCAGGGGATGATTGTGTTAATTGGTTTTATGACTAGGCTATTGATTTCTCTCAGCAGTGGAAGTTGGCAAGTTTAATGTTTCAGTTAGATGTTTGATATAATGTTTGATCATTTCTGGGATATCCATGTGTTTGTGCAGCTTGCGAAGGAGTGGAAGTTGTTTTCCATATGGCTGCTCCTGATTCATCCATTAATAATCATCAGCTCCATCACTCTGTCAATGTACAAGGTACTTTTGGGATTTTAGAGCGCTAAATAAAGAAATATACTCTCTATGCTTCTGAAAGTCTCTAGCCTATCAACTCTGCATTTATTTATCTTTATTATACTGCAACAGGGACCAAGAATATTCTTGACGCCTGTATTGAGCTAAAAGTAAAAAGACTTGTGTATACTAGTTCTCCAAGCGTGGTCTTTGATGGTGTTCACGGAATATTTAATGGGGATGAATCGTTGCCTTATCCCGCTAAGGTATTGAACTGTGTTGACTTAATGTCGCAACAATATCAGCATTATCTTTATATTAATGATCAAGAGGGATTGTTAAAAGTACTCGGATTATTATGTTTGCCTTTCTCTCTCAGCCTTCATCATTAGTTGACGCCGGATTTCAAATAACGGAAGACATTATTTTCATTTAGCTATCTCTATTCCTCTTTTTCCTTCTGTTTTTATTTGGATTGGATGGGACGTAGTGGCTCCACATGATTTCACCATATCATATCACTTGGTGATGTACAAAACAAATACTTGGATGCTCATCTCCTGGTCTAACTTAGTTCTGCATCATGCGTGTGCAGCTTAATCTGATTTTGAGCCAGCGTCTATTCATTGATGCACCTATGTCAAATTAATTATTATTTTTGGTTAATTTTTCAGTCCAATGATTCCTATTCTGCTACAAAAGCGGAAGGAGAGACCCTAGTTATCAAATCAAATGGTTTGAAAGGACTCCTAACATGCTGTATTCGACCTAGCAGCATTTTTGGTCCTGGTGATAAGCTACTTGTTCCATCTTTAGTTGCTGCAGCAAGGGCTGGGAAATCCAAGGTTATTCTTTTGCTTGTTCTTGTATTTTTACTATTGTTTTGCTTCTTGTATTCTTACTTTTTCACACATTGATTTTTCTTTGAGTGGAGTTCTTTGTCTGACAGCAATGAAATTAATGAAGTTTTGATTAGCTTAAAGAGAATGCATGAGACCCCTCTGTTTTGCTTTTCAGATTTCAGTTCTCTGAGGTCCTTTGCATGAAATTTATATTTGGTGATGCTCATTCCTGGCAATAACTCTACTTCTCCTTACCAAGTGTCACTTGTCAATTTTGCCTTTTATGCCATTGTTATTTTGTACTTATTTTTGTAGTGCTACAAAATGTTTTCTTTACTTGCATATCCAGACAGTCATTTTCTCTGATGGGTTACTGTGAATTGTCTAGTTTATTGTTGGAGATGGAAATAACATGTATGATTTTACATACGTGGAGAATGTGGCACATGCTCATATATGTGCTGAACGAGCCCTGGCATCAGAAGGGACTGTAAGAGAAAGAGCTGCTGGTCAGGTAACATTTGTTTCTTTCAAATAAAGTTGATTTATACCATTTCGGTTGATCAGAGCCTTATATAAATGTATACATTTCTCGTCCAATGTTCATGTAAAAATGGTGAGTTGCAGTGTGGGAAGAACTTATCGATCTGCCATTTATGTTTCTCTTTTCCTTGCATCTTGTTATACTGTTGATAATCGGTTGTTATTTTGGATGTATGTCAAGTTTTCAGCCAATTAATGGGAGTGTGTTACTCATGTTCTTGAAGTGTATCTAGGAATGTCTAAATAGAATACTTTTAAAAGACAGAAATTCCGAAAAATTCATAAGATTCCCAAATTTTTAGAATAGTGCACCAACATTAGAGCCTGTTTGAGCCCCCTTTTTTTTTACCCAAAATGCATTTTGGAATAGTATTTTAATGGAGAATGCATGGTCAAAAAATAAGGAAAAGTTTTGGATTTGCATGTAATATTATTTTATAAAAGAATGTGTGGTTGAAATTAAGAGAGAGAATAATATATTTTCAAAATAACGGGGACCAAATAAGGGCTTAGTATCACAAATACTTATATAGAGCATACGAGGGATTTTTAATATATAATTTCTTGAAATATTATTTAATTCACATGATTGTAACTGTGTGCCTCAATAGACAAATTTTAAATTGAATTTCCTTTGCAGGCATACTTTATTACCAATGCGGAACCAATCAAATTTTGGGAGTTCATGTCTCTTATTCTTGAAGGCCTTGGTTATGAAAGGTACTCTTATTCTTTCTTAAGAGAAATTCAATCCCTTGTTATTTGAGTACGAAGCCTGCTTACTTCCCTTGGGTTAGCACCCCTCTTTTGCTGGTTTGTCAGTAGGCACCAAGTGTTCCACTTTTAGTTTCAGCGTTTCAATGGATAGAGAAGTATTTTATCTGATCTTGCTGCTAATTGAAGTAACACTGGTCAATTCTAAACTAGTAGTTTTAAGCAGCTTGTCAGCTCATTGCAAATGGGTGTTACTGTTACTTGTTAGGAAAGATGCTTTGACTTGGTATAAAAGCTGATTATTGAGGTACTGGGCAAGTCTCACACATTGATTTGTTAATAGAATTCATGTTTCCCAGTGCCACTATTTCTTCTCTTCATTCTATTCTTGGTTCTTGATTGTGCGATGGTTTCACTTTGTTACTCCAGAACTAGTATATGAGCTCTGGTGTCCCATGCGCCAGCATCATTTGGATATGGATGCTATATTAAGGAAGAAAACCTAAAATCTTATTATCTCTCTCTCATGTGCGTATCTGTTTGTTCCCTTAACTCAGTTCTGTAACTCTGTTGTCTTTTGTTTCTTAGAGGGTTTATTTCCATGTAGAAATTTATAATTACCAACATATGCTATCTATATTTCTGATTTTATATAGTATGCAGACCAAAAATAAAGATTCCTGCTGCTGTTATGATGCCAATTGCACATATCGTGGAGTTAATTTATAAGCTTTTAGCTCCTTATGGGATGAAGGTTCCGCAGTTCACGCCTTCAAGAATTAGACTTCTGTCTTGCAGCCGGACGTTTGATTGTTCTAAAGCAAATGATCGTCTTGGCTACACACCAATTGTATCACTCAAGGTCCTTCTAATGACCTCAATGAATCAATTGTGTTTCTCTTGCCTGACACCTACTTATTGGTTTAGTAAGCCTTCATTTTGCAAATTTGTTAAATCATTTATAAATGGTCAAACTTCATTTCCAACTACCATTCATTTTTGTCTATTTATAAATTAAACCATTTATAAATTCTTCCTAAACAGAGTATAAATAGTTTTATGCTATGCGATTGTCACGCTTCTGAACCTAATTGGATAAATTGATCATTTATGCAGCCAAAACATCTAATTTCGTCGAACATATGTAAATAAGTGTAGCTTTATACCACTTTACTTGATTGCTTCCTGCACACATATTTAATAGAAGGAAATCTTAAACCTCCTCCAGTACTGACAAACACTAGCATGAGCGTCCACTCAATATTTTCTCTGACGTTTGATTGAATTTTTAAAGACGTATTAAAAACTTTGGTGGCAGAAAATCTGTTGGTGCTTCTATGAGTCATTATTTGAAATGATCTTTCTTCAATGAATATTAATTGTTTGCAGGAGGGCCTTAGGAGGACTATTGAATCATACCCACACTTAAGGGCTGATGTACCAACCGCAAACGATGGGCCATCGAAAGCTGCCATACTTCTTGGAAATGGGAAGGGTATCAATTTATTCTCAATGAAGCTCTTATTCTTTCTTCACTGGATGCAAAATGTTCTGCATATTTTAGTATTCAGTTGGTATGGCGTCGTTATTTCACTTCAGTATTGTCATTAGTCAATCGCTAAGTGTGTTGTTACCACTGATATGCATTTATATGTCAGAATCTAATAGTGACTTCGACTTCTGAAAACCATATGATTCAATTTCAGTTCCAAGACACGTCGTGGAAAATGAAGCTAAAAGTCGATCATGTAGAATGGTTTTTGACCTCAACTGCACCTGGGAATTCTTCCCCCTTGTGATCCAAAAATTCCAATGTTAATACGTTGTATGGAATTTATTTGGCTAATTCGTTGGTTGCGTTGAAGTTACCAAGGAAGTGTTGATAGACTTAGATATAAATGTTGATCTTGATCTAGGATATAAGCCTATGGGTGTGGTGCTAATAAATTAAGGACGAAGGACTTGAAGAGTTCTGAAATGTTAAGAATTTATGTAAAAAGAATAATAAGCTAGAATGATGTGGTCTGTTTGGATGTGACGGAGTGAGTGAAAAGAAAATGCACTAGAAAAGGAATTCTGCGGAAGGTGGAAGCATGTATTGGAATGGTTTGAAAGCTCTACTAATCATTAGCTGGGAAGGAGCTTGGTGGTTGAGATGAAATGGAAATATGACAGGTTACAAGTTTTTAATGTTTCTTTGTTATCATGCAAATAGCTTGCAGTTTTTCTTATTGTTCATTTTCTGCTGGTATAGGTTGACGAACTATATTATATGATTAGTAGTCCGTGATGTTATTTTTGGGTTATGTTTTGGTAGCTTTATTTTGAGGTGCTCCGCCTTGGCCAGACTCCTGATATTTGAATTTTTCTTACATAAATTAAAATATTCAGTCTAAGCAACATGTCATTACGACTATATTGTTGGATTCTTGAATGTGTTTCTCAAAATTATCACTATATTATGACACTTGCAGTTGCTGACATGCTTCTTTGGAGGAATAAAAAGCAAACACTAACAGTACTGTTGATCTTGGCTGCATTTTTCTTCAATTTTATTGCAACTGGATATACCATTATAACTGCAGTTTCCAAGCTTCTGCTGGCAGCCTCAATTTTCCTTTTCATCCATGCCAAGTTACCAGAGAAAATGTATAAATGCCAACTCTCTCTTTTTTCTGTTTAAGCAATTATTTTGAGCTTTTTTATGGTTTATCCTGGAATTAGATAACCATAAAAACGTATACATCTCAGATATGGTGTTAAACATAGGATAAATTCCGTGGCTCGCCTGTTCGGTGACCGATATGAGTTTGATGAGTAAAAGAGTCTAAAGAGTACTTAAGTAGAATGCAAATCCATGTGATTTTTTACTTAGCCCTTGTTTGAGCCACATTCTAGGGAAAAAATGCATTATTCTTGTCAAATTAATGGGAAATATGTGGTTAAAAAATAAGAATTTTTTTTTGATTTGCGTGTAATATTATTTTATTGAAGAATGTACGATTGAAATGATATCAAATCACTGTTGAAGAATGTATTTTTTTGAAAATAATGTGGCTCAAACAAGCCCTTTATCTACAATATAATATTTTTATTTATATTTAGGTTGCAAGTTGCTTGTCCGAAAGAGAATATTAACAATATCACTTTAATAGGACATCTACATAATAGGAATTATTGGGATTGCTCATGATGCCTGTGTTTGTGCAGATTGGGATATAAAATTGAAAAAATTCAGGAGTCAAAATTTCACATTTCAGAAGATAAGTCTCACCAAGTTGCCATGTCAGTAGCGTCAGGGTGGAACTCTGCAATGGTTTGTTTAAAATCTCTTTGCAAAGGAAGTGACTGGATACTTTTTCTGAAGGTAATATCATTTGCGTTTTAATTGCTTTGCACACTTCATGGAAACTTCACTGTAGCTGCATTTTTTCCTTCATTTATTGGTTAAAAAGATGTTAAGGAAGTTCTTTTAAAAGCTTTAAATCAAGATATCCACATGTATGCAATGAGCTTATGTATCATTCTGGATGGGTAAAAATTGGATAGAGAATGTTGTGCATAATGGGCTGCAATCCGGTGGTTGAGGGTATGGTACTAGGAAAATGACTCATTCATACCAAGTTGTTGAATGTGACGTCTTCTTTAATATATCACTCAAAATGTAGGTTAGATTTCTTCACTTGGTCGAGGTCAACCGTTGAGTTTGTTTAACGTCTTTCGTTTTCACAATCCATGTTTCTTCTATGCTTAACCTGAGAAATAAAATGCTTTACATTTCTTTGTTCTGTCTTAGTTTGGAGTAACACTTTGGTATTAATAGTTCGAGATTAAGTGGAACTAAGATGAAATGCGTGGAATGTGACGAGGACATAATGCACAAGAATAGAGTGGATTGGACCAAATGAAGTGTCATGGGAATCTTATGTGATTGGAGTACCTAACCCTTTAATGAAGGAGGATTTGATGAGGACATACTGCACAAGAATACAGTGGATTGGACTGGATACACAATTGTCATGCAGATATTATGTGGTTGGAAGAACGAAGATACCAAGGTCCTCCTTTAAATGGAAGTTATATAGGATGAATATTGGACTCGTTCTTTTTTATGATATTGATTATTGAGCAATTAAATAATAAAAGCTCATAGGATGAATATATCATAATGAGAAGATTAAGGTGGACGTGTGATAATTATAGATTAGATAAACTATGATATTATGTTGTACTGCAAAAGTGGAGTTGGCATTAATTGTGGATAAATTTAGAAAACATTAACTTAGATGGTTAAGGTGTGTCTTCTGTAAATGGAAAGACGCTATCAATCATTGGAGCAATGTAATCCCAGTAGATCATGTTAGGAGAGTGATGACTAAACCAAAAGTAACATGACCCCATGGTGGCTTTTCTACAAGAGGTAGCTTTAGATCGAATGGACATGGCAGATTTCTTGGGAGAACATGTTAGGAGACTTGTATGCTTCGAAGTAGAATGAGTGGGGTATATGCTATGCACCATCAACATGGATACATGCATTGTTCATTGATGTTAATATTATAAATCCTTGAACTGCCTGTAAGTTGAGCTAAAGGAAAATGATAATAGGAGTAGGATTAAAGTAAATTGATGACTCTCAGGTTCCCACAAGGAGAAAAAATAATAACTTGTGGCCACCTTGCTCACCTTTTTTCTATGAAACACATCTACATTTGCATTTACTGTAATTGGGATTTCATCAACCAATCTTTTACTCATTCTGAATCTGGTTGTGGAACAGGTGGTTCTCTCTCTATTGGCTCTCAGTATACTTGGAGCTGTTTCTTTTCGCAATATGTTCGTTATGGGTATGCATTCTCTGTTTGTGTGTGAACATGTCATCCAGTTTATCCAATTGTATGCAATTGACATTTTGATTTTATGGTTCTGTGAGTGTATATTTTTGGGTCTGTGCATGTATACATATGTTTAGTGAGGGTGCCAAATAAACTCTGTCTCACCAGTTGCCATTTGGTTATTGTCTTTGGACTATGCAGGAGTTTCCATTGCCTTTCTCGCTTTCGTTGTGTATGAGAAAAAGGAAGAAGAGATAGATAAATTGATCCTTAAGATTATCTCACTTGGCTGCAAATCGAAGTCTTGTAATTCTGGAAAAACTTCCGATTCAAAAAAACTGCAGTAATTGTTAAATTAACATGGGAGCTGTTCCTATTCATCACTTGTTGGGGCTCCTTTGTCGCTTTCAGATTCTTCCTACTGTAGGCATTGTATGCTTCGCGTTTTCTTCTAGAAATGAAAGAAATGTGCTGGATGATCGCTACATTTTCTACCTCGTGTGCATATCTCTACCAAGATGAACGCTGTGTATTGTGATCAATGCCTGCCTTTATTTTTGTAGCGTTTCCGAGAGTTGACATTGATTTGTTAGTTCTCACTTGATATTTCAAGTTATTGTGAAGGTCTTCGATAAAATTCTGTGCTCTTTTCTCTTTTGATTGTTAATGTCGACTTGTCATGATATTATGGACGTCTTGACGACTCCCTCTTAAATAAAATAATTCGTCCCTTTTTATCGGCTTAATCTTTTACTGTGTCTTTTAGTTCTGTGTGCCACAATCCGACCTTCATGGTTTTAGGGAATTATCGCGTATACACTAATTTCGTTCAACATCATAATATTGGTAACACTATTTTGAAAATAAATATTCATGGAAAGTACATTACCAAATTAGATGAATTTAATCAACATGTTTTGAGTGGATTAAAATCTGATTTTTATCTATGTCAAAGTTTAATGATCAAGATTAACTATAACACTTTCAATTTCATTTCCTGTCTGTTTGCGTTTTCCTTCCTGTAATTGATAATCAAGGAGTGAAAGAAATTGAAAAATCCGAATCAGCTAAAAAAAATTGCCTTCCGGTCCAAGAAAGTGGCCTTTAATTGGTCATTTACATCATATAGTGGGTACTTCACTTCCACACCATCATTCTTCGAGAAATTTAGCTCAAATTTATGAGCCCTAAATGTACCTCAAATTTGGTGAAGTCTCTGCAGTTGTTTTATCTTTGCCTTTAATGGCGAAAGAGGTTCTAAAAAGTCATGATCCTGCATGTGCTAATAGGCAAAAAAGTGTGGCTACAGAGATAATGCGGTATAGTTATACTGATATTGTGTATATCCCATAAGGTGATTACTGGAAGCAAATGATGAAAAATTGTATAGTGGAAAGTTAAGCCCAAACAATGTTTGATCATTTGCCTTAATCAGGGAGGATGAAGCTTCTTGTCTAGCCGAGTCCATCCGATCAACTTGTGAATCACGATTTGATCTAACTCTGAAAATTTTCTTGTGTACAAGTTCTATAACATGCAGAACTGCATTTGGTAAAGTATGTAGGGATAGGGAGACTTCAATAAGGTTGATAAAGAAAGACATGGCTTTGGCAGGACGCTTTGATTTAGCTGATTTATTTCCTTCAGTCGAAGTGTTCGATTTAATCAATTTGGAATAAGTTCAGGCTGTTGAAAATGCAGTGTAAGGTTGACGTGATTCTCGACGCCATTAATGATGAGCATAGAAAGAATTTGACAGCAACAAATAAAGCAAATGGAGAGTTGGGCAGTGAAGATTTGGTTGAAGTTCTTTTTAGATTAAAGGAAAGTAGCGAACTTGACTTTCCAAAAACCAATGACAATATCATTGCTGTCATTTTTGTAAGACTTAAAACAATATTATGCATTCTTCCATTTCCCTTATGTTATATATGTGTTTAACATCTAAGTGAATGGCCCAATGGTGTAGTCCAATTACTTATATGCTTGGCCCATGATGGAGGAATGTGACCCGGTTTGGCCCTTTAATGCATATTCTCACATTTACTTAAAACGCGTCTTTAGTAGATGGCTGAGATGATGACACTTGTTGCCGCCGAATCATTGGATGCATTGTGACTTTTTATATTCCCAATCTCTCATTCATTTGTGATGCTTCGAGATTATTCTAAGGTTTACACTCCCTTCATCTTTGTAATTTTCTCTCTGAAAACTCTTGGATTTCGTCTGTAATATTGTGAGGTCTGAATATTTTTGGTGATATTACGGCATCGTTGTGGTCTTCTTGTTCTTTGGTAAACAGTAACCCTTGCTTACTTTGTGTAATTTGTAAAAGAGAGTTAAAGTGAGAGTTTGAGGCTGAGGGCTTGGAGTCGTGTGATTCTTGAGTCTCTAATACTTGTATATTGACATATTTTGCTGGATTCTAGTAGATTAGAAGAGCGATAACCACTTAGGTGGATGCTCAACATGGTGATTAGCCTATTTTTGGATGAACATCTAGGCCTACGGTGAAAAATCTCGTGTTCTTTTATCCGATTTGTTCAATTTTGATCTGGGACCATAAAATATCAACACCTTACCACAATTTTGTTCTGAATGCTAAATATCATATTTTTGCAGGACATGTTTTCAGCTGGAACAGAATCTTCATCATCAACACTTGATTGGGCCATGGCTGAATTAATTAAAAACCCGCGTGTAATGTTAAAAGCAAAGAATGAAATAAGGCAAGCGTACAATGGAAGGAAAACAATAAATGAGGCTGACATGCACATGCTGAAATACCTTAAGTTGGTTGTCAAAGAAACCTTACATTTACACCCTCCCGTTTCTATTATCCCGAGAACATGCAGGGAGGAATGTGAGATTGGCGGGTATCAGATACCCATCAATGCCAATGTTATAGTCAACATCTGGTCTATAGGAAGAGATCCCAACTATTGGGAGAATCCTGATAGTTTTAAACCAGCGAGTTGAGAAAAATTCGGTTGATTTACTGGGAAATCAATTTGAATATCTTCCATTTGGGTCGAGAAAGAGGATTTATCCAGGTATGACATTCGGTTTAGCAAATATTGAGTTTCTGTGAGGATATGGTTCACCTAACACTATCAACTTGTAATTTGATGGTATTGATGTTGACACAATAAGGTCTTCCCACGTTTTTGGCAGAGGCATGGTCTTTCCTTCTTATGTAGACTTACCCTCTACCATTTTAAGTAGAAGAGCTCTCGATTTTTCCTCCCAGCTGAAAGTGAGCTCTCGTTTTTAGCAAAGGGTGGTGGTTCTTCATTGGTTTTTCCCCTCTCTCTTGGAAGGTAATTAGCAAGTCATGGAAGGCTGTTCCTGAGCCTGAAAAACAGCCATTAGAAGGGAAGAAAGCTGCTGCAAGGAAGGAGAAAATCTGTCCAGACTTCCGGCCGAACACAGGTTGTATTTTTCCATCCCCTTTTTCATTGTTTTGCCTTGAATCTTGTCTATTGGTTGATGTTTTGGTTGATTGAACTCCCAGGATCCCCAACAAACTGGTATCAGAGCTAGGAGGAGTGATATTAGTCCAAAATCGATCAAAAACCAGCAAGGAATCGCCATTGCCACTTTCTAACCGAATCTGAAAAACTTGATTTTCAGCCAACCTATTGACTTTCCGGCGAAATAGACCATGGAACCATGACCAGCAGGAGGAG